CAGGGTTTACTTCTATTCCTCGGTTAGAAACAAGGAAACCTAAAAACTTACCTGAAGACACGCCAAATGCACACTTTTCGGGATTTAACTTCATATTGAATTTGCGAAGAATGTAAAATGTATCTGACAAATGTTGGATGTGATCCCCCGCCTTTGTTGACTTGACTAGCATGCCATCGATTTAGACTTCCATAGTTTTTCCCAGGTGTTCTTGAAACATTTTCGTTACTAACCTCTGGTACGTGGCTCCAGCATTCTTTAGACCGAAAGGTATGACTTTATAACAGTAAGTCCCCCTATCTGTAATAAAGGAAGTTTTTTCATCATCTAAAGGATCTATTTTTATCTGATTATATCCTGAATAGACATCTAAAAAACTCAACAATTCATGTCCTGCAGTAGCATCAATTAGTTGATCTATGTGCGGTAAAGGAAAAGAATCTTTAGGGCAAGCTTTATTCAAGTCAGTATAATCTACACAAACTCGTCATTTGACATTCTTTTTTGGTACCACTATAGTATTAGCTATCCAATTAGGATATTTTTTTTACTGCTCGGATAGACCCGAATTTTAAAAACTTTTGTACCTCATCCTGAATCACCTGGTTTTTGAAGGATCCTTGCTCCCTTTTCTTCTGTTTGACAGGTGAGTATGTTGGATCTTCATTTAGCTTATGGGTCATCACCTCCGGTGGTATACCTGTCATATTTGAATGCGACCAAGCAAAACAGTCTGCGCTAGCTTTTAAGAATTTAATTATTTTACCTTTCATTTCTGTGCTCAGGTTGGTTCCACTGTAAACTTTTCTATCTGGCCAATGTATAAACATCACCACTGCTTTGAGTTCTTCAATTGTTGTTTTGATGTTTTCATTCTCTTCTGGCTTTTGAATGATATCAGGCCTTGAATCTATATCCATTTGCCCATCCCTAGTTGAGGTTTGTGTTGCTAAATCATCAACTAAATTCTGTAATTGTTATTTTTTGTCTGCAACATTTTTTTTTATGCTTGAATCTACCACTGAATTGATACTTCTAGAAGCCTGCTGATCACCACGTATTTGTCTAATTCCCCATTGTGAAGGGAACTTAATAACCTGATGTAAAGTAGACGGAACAACATCTATAGCATCAATCCAAGGTCTGCCGAGAATCATATTATATGCCATGTCCGTATCTATCACCTGAAATTTCATATCTTTGACAACTCCTTCTGCGAATGTGGTGAGCACTATTTCCCTTTTTCTTTACTTACCCTTCTCACTAAACAAATCGGTTAAATAACCTTGTTTTAACAAATGCTCTAACTCACCTTGTAGCACTCTGTTATATGCTATTTTATAACCGTGGTCACTATGAAACTCGCACTGGAAATCGGAATTTCTTCTGCTAGAGTTAGAACTCATTTCTTTTGGCCACCGCACCTTATCTCTCATACTTCTTAAAACAATTATCAACTCAGAAGTGCTAACATTGAAACTGTAATCACCAATATTTGCCTTCGTATTAACATTGTTATCCCACATATCTCGCTCCTTTCCAAACTTGGATGATGATCCCGCATCTCTGTCTCTTGATCTAGAATCGCACCTCGTGTTTTCTTGTTTAGAACGTGAATCTCGTCCTGCTAGTCCCATGTAAGGTCCGTACTTGTTCAAACCGGACCTTTTTCAGTTTCTGGTCGCCTCAAACTTGTTCTTTCATCTCCCCGTGAATGAGTGATAGTATCTTTCTCTATCCGCAGCTTCGTGCTATATCTGTTGTAAACATCATTTCAAGTTTTAGCAGGGAATTCTCGTAAGCTTTCCTTGAGTCTCCTCGTGGCTTCTAAGCTTTTTTATTTAAGTTACTTGCAAACGCCATGGCCGCCCAATTATCAGGTACACGCGGTAACATCTCCTTGTTTTATTTTGAAGATGTCTTCCATCCTCTTTTCAACTTTTTGAGCTCCTGAGTGCGCTTTTATAAATGAATCTGCAAGCTCAACAAAAGAATCAATAGAATTTTTCAATAAAAGAGAATACCATGTTAGTGCTCCTTTTGTGAGTATTTTGCCAAATCTTTTGACCAACACCGACTCAATTTCTTGCTTGGTTAAATCATTGCCTTTCACGCCATTTGTAAATGCAGATACATGATCTCGTGGGTCAGTTGTTCCATCATACTTCAAAATATCGGGCATCTTAAACTCTTTTGGAATCGGCAAGGGAGCGGCACTTTGCTTCCAGGGCTGTTGTGAATATTTATCAATATCCACTCCTTTAATCACGGGTGGCACTCCAGGTATTTGTTCTATGCGATCATTCTGCTCCTTGAGCTGTTTCTGCAAAGTTAGTACTAAACTTTGTAAATTAGAATTATTTGGGGTACCTGACCTTCCATCGCGAGATTCGCTGGGAGTTCCTCCACTGTCTGAATTAGCAAGTCCCGAACGTGGGTTTTCTATGGTTGTAGTGTTGTTTGGAGGTAGAGTTGGTGGTACAATTGGTAATCCACTAACGAAAGCTTGAAGGGCATTGTTGACGTGTTTTGCAATTAGCTTTTTCAATGCATCTTCAGCAGTTTGATCGTCCCGTTACTGATTATTCGTGTGATGTTGATCTTTGAGGTGACCTTTCTCGAGAGTTTTGGGGAGAATTTTGGGGTGAAGAGATTGGAGTTTCACCCTTTTGTTGGTTTAGTTAATTCAGTTGGTTTTGTTGGTTGTTGTCGTTGACAGTCAACATGGTTGTTTGACAGAAAAATGAATTTAGAAAGTGAAACGATTATCAGATTCCCGGTAACGGAACCAATTTGTTTAACTAAAAATATATCTTTCGGTCAAAAGCTATTTTTAGAAGAAAACGGGCTTCTGATAACCAAGTTTTGCCTCACTTTCTCAATGATATCGAAGAAAAAGAACAAGAATAAATAAGGAAATAATTGATTGCAAAGTCAATATAGAGAATTTCGAGAAAAGCAGAAAAGTAAAGTAAATATATTCCAATATTGTCTTAGTTGATCTTGTAAGTGAAATTCTCTCCCCTTATATAAAGGTTTACACATATAACGTTTCTTTCCATTTATGGCTAAATCATTACGAGCTTTAATGACATTTATGATCCGTTATAATTGATAATTGTAACTGTCCACGAGATTCTATAACGATTCTGATTCCCCTCCTCATTAATTGAAGGTTCATGAATCTTCCCTTTTTATTGTCTTGATTCAGTCTTTACTAGTTGTTAGACTCGGTACTACCTCGTGGGTGTTTCCCTCCCGTGCCTTTTCTTATTCTATCAAATAAGACTGCCACGTGTTGCTATATCATTGCTCTTACGTGTTATGCCATGTCAGCAGTATAATATTCCACGTGTAGCTTTTTTTACCACCAATACAGTTAGATTATGTTCGATAATTACTTTCTCTACCTAAATTTTTTAAGTCTTGTTTTTTGACAAACACTTTTGAAGCTTGTAAGCACACAACTAACTTGCTCTCTTCATCTGTTTTTAAGTACAAGCAATGAGTCAAGGGTTTATCAAAAACAAACTCTCCACCTTTATAAGGTAGATGTAAGGTCTACATACACATTACTCTCCGAAGACTCCACTTGTGGGTTTGTTTTTGTTGTTGTCTACAAGCATTAATTCAAGATCAGTTCAAAAACAAGAATCAAATGCTTACATTTTACAAGAAGTTTTTCAAGAAATCTATGTACTCCCAGCTTCCTCATCTTGGTTTTGGAGATTCATTAATCCTTTTTCCAACCAAATTGCAGTTTCTCTAGAAGAAACAGCTTCTTCTCCAAATGGTTTTAGCACACCAGCTAATTCTTCTATCTTTTCATGCTTAAGTAACTCTGCGCAAAGTTCAAGTAATGACTCTAGTGCTTCTGCCCTTTCATTGCTCATACTAATTCCCACATTGTTGTTCCCTTGTAACAAATTCAGTGCAGCCATTACTGATGTCTCACTCGCTGCACGTTTATGACCATCGTGTTTTTCTGTATCCCGATGTGATCAATGTCTTTTGCTGCAACTTCATTATATGATTTTGGTATTCCTGGTTTCTTCAATGTGCATTTATTTGCTCTTCTGGTTGAGAATTTGCAACTTTCTTGCCCTCAATTGGCCTATGATCAGTTGGTTTATGATTTTCTTGATCTGTTACTTCTATTGTATTATCAGCAGCCTCAAGTGTAAATTCTTTTGGATCAGCTTCTTGTTGATCAGTCAAAGTACTTCTTGTGGAGCTTCTTGAATTACTACTTCCACTTTTTTTGACAGATATGTTTTTTATTCTTTCACTCTCCATATTAGGTGATTCACATTTGCTATTCATCCCTTTGAGTTCAGCAACCTTGTCCTGTTTTTTCGCTTGTGTGATTTCCTTCGGTAGCCTTGTGTCTTTTCCTAATGTAGGCTTGGAATTTGACTCATGAGTTTGTTCAGGCTTCTGTTTTGGTTCCTTTTTAGAAAATACTGGTATGAATGCAGGTGGCGAATTCCGGCATTTAGCAAGGTATGGTTGTAAATGTGGATGCCTCAACAATTCTGCAGCCTAAAGCGTTCAACATCAATAGCATTAAAAGGCAGCCCTGGTTCACTAAGCTCTCGCTATGCACGGGATCCGGGAAGGGACCCAGGTAAAAAGCTATTCTCAATCCTTTATATATAATGGCAAATACTAAATATTCAAGTTATAAGTTCTTGAAGCTTCACAAGAAATGAAACATAAATGTAGCATGGACTATGTTTGGTTCATTTAAAAATACCATAAGACGGGGAGAGTTGTCTCAGCGTGACCTATAAGTCACGGGTTTGAGCTATAGAATCAGCTACTGATACTTGCATTAGGGTAGGTTACCTACGTCACACCCCCTTGGGCTGCGGCCTTTCCCCGGACCCTAGACCCTGCATAACACGGGATGATTTGTACACCGGGCTGCCTTTTTTTATAGGACAGAGAGAGTTAAGAGAGATCAGAGAATTTACTCAGTAACATTGGCATTAACTTACTAAACTAAAAATCATTTTGCTCAAGCAAAGCTTTTAACTGATGTAAGAAAGATCATGGTGAACACCAATAAATGGAGGGTTAATACATGTACATAATCAGTAAAATTAATTCAAGGGCTCAACCAACATCTTCATTGTAGTTCTTCCTAATGATCTTAAAGTGTGTATTCCATACTCTAAATCTGAATCACATGTTATTGCAATCCAGTCATTGTCTTCATCTTCATACTTGATAGAACAACTTCCTATAGGAATTCTCAATCTCTTTTTGATTTCTGCTTCTAAATCGATTTTCCCCGATGAAAGAGACAGTGGAAACTTTACAGTCACATCTTTGCAAGTTACCTTTACGCTCATGGCGTTGTCACTCTGAAATGCAGCCGTAGGTTTCTTCCTCTGATCAGTCAATGTAGCATGTGGCTGCAGGTCTTCTTGACTGGAATTCACTGACTGTTTTTCAACTCCTTTTACTGGTTTGCTTTCAGAAACAGAACATACGTCAGTTGCAGACTTACAGCGTGGCCACCTGTAAATGTCGTTGTCTCTACACATGCGCTTCAAGGTAGTTCGAGCAACTGCAAGAAAAAATTACAACGGGACGATCTTACTCATGTTGCATCAAACGTGGTGAATGTGCATGAAGTTGCGAAATGCCTATATTGATAAGATTATGCTTACCTCCTAAATCTTTTGCAGCATCAGAAAGTTTCTTTCCAAATTGTTCTTCTAGAACGCTACGACTAATACCATACTCCTTTTCTATCCTCTTTATCCTTTTATGTTTCTCTGGGCAATTATGGGAATTTGTACTCTCTTTGACATGCAGAGAATGCCTTTGTTTGTCCGCTACATCAGCTGCCTCCCCTCTCTGTTGATATGCTAAATCTGGCTGTGTAGTTTCTCCTTTGTCCTTTGACTGAAGATTCATTCGAGCATCCCATCCATAATCTACAGTTATAATTTCTTCAAAATCAGATGAACTCAAAGGATCAATATCAGATAGTTGATTGAGGGTGTCATATTTTACCATCAAAGGAAGTTGATGCTGACCTATGTCAAAGTACTCGAGTTCTTCATCAAGAGAAGCTTCAATAATAGACAAGTTTTTTTGCAAATTTTGCTCTGGATCAACAATAAATGTTGCAAATATGTCTGAATCAGTATAGGAAACTTCATTCTCCTTGAAATTTAAAAAATTCCTTTCTTTGTCCACCGCATCAGCTTCCTCAACTCCTTGTTGGTGTGCTGAATTTAGCAGTACAGATTCTTCTTTATTCTCTAATTCCAAAATCTTTTGAGAAATAGCAATACCATGTATACCAGGAGTATCCTTTGTAGTTTCCATGGAATGAGCTGCTATATCAGTTGAACTCGAAGATCCTAAATCAGCGGATTCTTGATTCAAGGAATCAAAATGCATCACTTTTTTGTTTCCCTTTGGTTCAATCACTGGTTGTGGTTGGCTTATCTCAAAGAAATCAAGCCCATCAACAAGAGCAGTTCCGATAACCTCAACAAAAAAGCTTGGTCCTGAATCTAGAGAAAAGCTTGGAAGTTGTTCTCCAATTGTGGCTAATAGCTTGCTCAAGAAACTTTGCGGATTTCCATCGAGTGTCTCATCACGAGGTAAAAAGAATTCTAGTACCATGCGGCTTGCATTCTTCAGTCTCACAAAAATTGCAAAACAGGCGGTAAATCTAGCAGAGCGTGCAATTGGTACTAAGGGGTAAAAATCTATGCTTAATTGAGTTATATCTCTGCAAAAGCATGAACCCTTTGATGAAAACACTTTTCCAACCAATCCTTGCCCAGTCCGTACATGATGTAGGTCACTAACAGCCAAAAATTCAAGAGATGTTATCTCTTCACTGCAATACTTTGTTGGGGCCGAGGTGATCAACATTTCTGTTCTACTTGAATCAAGCACAGGAATCCAAGTTTGAGCAAAGAGTAACTTGTGAGTCTTACATGTTACTTCCAAAACCTCCTTTACTTTAGCGAGTTCTTGCTCCGATACTTCTTGTATCTGCTTTGAGTAAATTAAATTACATCAACGGAATGGAGAAAGGGAGAAAAAGAGATTGAAGGGCTACATGCATTGTTCAAGATAAATGTTTAACGTGGGGAATTCTTTTTTTTTTTTCCCTTATAAAAAATGCCTAATGAGTGAACTTTACCTCTTGAGGGCATGCTAACCATGAAGGAATGAGAGCCAGACCCATTGTCTGCAAATAACATAAGTTTCAGGGCAGTAGAAAATATAACAAACAGCAAACTAGGCTGTAAACTATAGAGGAAATCTAACTTCAAGGAAGCATCTGATACAAGTTTAGACATTCAATTATGTGGAGAATGTTTCCAAGTTGTTTGGGACTGAGCCATAGTTGTAGTTGTTATTGTTGTTGATGAGCAATCCGACGGGGATAGAAGATTAAGAACTTTAATTTTATGAGAAACCAACTACAATGATTTCTGATCCATGACACATTGTTGTTTGATTGTGTGAAAATAGTCATTTCATTCAGGACATCTCTCGTTACACCATCCAATGCTAAACAAATTAACATTTAGAAGGTCCATTTGATGTATCTCAAGCCTTACCCTGCATTTCTGCAAGAGGCTGTTTCCAGGCTTGAACACGTGACCTCCTGGTCACATGGCAACAACTTTACCAATTACGCCAAGGCTCCCCTTCTTAAATTCTTGAAATGTTTCACTTTCAAGTTGGTAATCAAAGTTTTCGAGGTTATCAAAATTTTCACTTGGCCAAGTTACTTGATTTAGTAAAATCTTGAAACTTCACTTATTTAATTGAAATCTGAGTGAAATTAACTCCAACATGCATGTTGTGTGACATCTGCTTAATCTGAGTGATGTTAACTCCAACATGCATGTTGTGTGACATCTGTTTACCAAAGTTTTTCAGTACTCGCAGAATTACTTGAGAACATTGCATTTATTGTCGTCCTGCTTTGTTGAAAATAGTTGACCACAACCTAAGAAAACCCATAAAAATAGACCATATCCAACAAGTTCCTGGGATGCCTAGTCCTCCACATTGGATACATAACAAAAGTTTCCACTATTGGTTGTAGCAGGTCGACTGTCTTATTTACCGAGTAACTAGTTCCAGTTATTACGGAGAGTTAGCCGTACTTATCTTTTAAGTGACCAAACATATAGAGTTCCTTCAATAAAGTCGGTGTATAAGAGTTAAACTCTAAAAAAAGTAGGGGCGCATAGGATATACCTTAAGTATTCTGTGATTGTTGATGAAACGGTCTAAGATAGAGCAAATATCAAGACCTTCATTTGCGTCGAATGCATATTCGAGTACGCCAATGCAACGGTCCCCTGAACCCTCAAACACAGGCACAGTCCAATAGCTACCTACTCCCAGACACATTGCAAAATTGCGCAAAGGGTATTCGCCCATGTAATAGTATCTGACATGAGGGCTGAATTCAGGCATTCCACTTCTGAAGACGCGTGCTGGACGGCCATGGACATGGATGCGTTTAGCTGCAGTAATATCTGTGGTGTCGACTGAAGCTATAGTATGGAGACATACACGCCTGTACGCCCACAGACCCTCGTGAATCTTGCCATTAAGAGCAAAAGGTTGGTCTGCTGTGGTTAAAAAAGTCTGGCCACCATTAATCCTTATAGGTGCCCAAAATTGAATCAAACAAGTTCCTTGAACATCAAGAAGCTCGACTAGATTCTTGGTTGTCAATCTGTTTATTTGACTGTCACCATTTGTATCAGTGTGAGTAGAATCTCCTATCCAATGAAAAAAGTTGGACAACATTGATGTCAAAGAATTTCAAAACAACACAACAATAACAACTATTACGCCGCAATCCAAGCAAGTTGGGCAATAGGAATCTCCATTTGCTCCATTTAATCTCATCTTAATTAGACCAATATCATAGAAAATGAAAATAGAATGTACTCTCTTTGTCCCATTTTACGTGGCATACTTTCCTTTTTAGGCTATCCAAAAAGAATGATACTTTTATATATTTACAAACAATTCAACTTTTGACGAAGTAGCGAGTTAAATGAGAGGCTATAGTCAAAGGCGAGTGGCAGCATTCATGAGTCGCTAGCTTAACTGTCCCTCGGAGACAGGCAGCGATGTAGCTATATAGAGTGAAGGGTGTTAAGTTCATCGAAAAAATTATACTGAGTATATAGAAAATTATACTATGTATACATATCAAAAATTATTTTTTGTACATATATATTAAACCTTGAACACCCTTTTCAAAATTCCTAGTTTCGCCACCCGAGGCAGGTTCCAGATGAGTCGCTAGTTTAACTATCCCTCGGAGACAGGCAGTGGTGTAGCCACATAGAGTGAAGGGTGTTCAGTCGAACATCCTTCATCGAAAAAATTATACTGAGTATATAGAAAATTATACTCCCTCCCTCCGTTCTAATTTATGTGAGCATGTTTGACTGTGCACGAAGTTTAAGAAAAAATGACCACTTTTAGGATTTGTGATCCTAAACAAGTCAAAAAGGGCCCAGAGTATTTGCGTGGTTATAAAAGCTTCTCATTAAGGATAGAATTGTAAGTTTAAGTAAAATTGTTATTAAATTTAGAAAGGGGTCATTCTTTTTAGAACGGACCAAAAAGAAAATAGGTTCACCTAGAGTGGAACAGAGGAAGTACTATGTATACATATCAAAAATTACTTTCTGTACATATATATTAAACCTTGGACACCCTTTTCAAGATTTCTGGCTTCGCCACTGAGGCAGGGTCGGGAAGTACTTCTCATTTTACCCGTAGGAAAATGATTTACAGTCATACAAACGTCTATAAAATTGTTTTCAAACAGTGTCACATAAATTGATGAAAAGCGAAAACCCAAAAACAAAAAACCCCACATGCACAAAACAAAGAGATAGAAGAACTCACTGAGAAATTGGAAGAGAGATTTAATATGGTTCAGCTCCTCCCCATTACGATTAGTCCAGAAAACCCACCTATTAATTCCATCACCTTCTTTTCTGTAAGAAAATTTGAGTTCAACAGGCATTATCAAAAAACTTAATTATCAGCAGCAGAAAGAAATCAAGACTGATGAATTAAAAGAACGCAAAATTTGTAGTTTTTTGTGTGTAGTCCACATAGATTAGTGCTGTGCTGTATTAATTTTCTTTATTACTTACCTTGCTCAAATGATCCAAAAGGTCAAAGTATACTGTGAGCTGTATCGTCTGAGTAAAGGAGGATATCACGTGGATTTCCACTTCTGCTTTTCGACTCAGATATTGTTGGATGCTGGGATTATTTTATACCGCCACTTTCCTTTGACTGAGAATGATTGTCATTTTATGGTTTCAGTTTGTAAATATGCTCATGCACATATATAACTTAAATTCATTTCTCTTATATGAAAAATTAAATTATGATGGATATTTACTTTTTTTTATTATTTTTATTTTTTTATGCCCATATAAAGATCTTGTAATAGATAAAAAGAACAAACAGTTAGAAGAAGAAAATGTCTTACTTCTTTTTATCTCTATTTCTTATTCATGTTTTACTAAATTGCTTTTATTTCATAATATATTAACAGTACCAATTTGCTTCTACACAAGTCCGATCCGACATACACTAGCTAAATTGATTTTATTACGTCTGGAGATTTTTCTTTTTCCCAAAATTGATTGCTAATCTGCACACATATATATATCGATTAATTTAGATGTTACCATTCTTTAAATATTTTCAACCAATCAATTCTATGCTTATGTAAGCTTCATTACATGGACTTAATTATTCTGGTAACCACATAAAGGTGATGCATCCTTATAATTTGTCGTTTAAGACATTATGCAGTTATTTTTCTAAGTATGATGCCAACAAGTTTTAAAATAATTATAGATTGACATTTTATTCAAATTTTAAAAATATATACTGATGTCAAATTTAGATTGTAAGATCATTATAAAATTGTTATTAAGATATTAAAAGAAAATATAGAATACGTATATTAAATCATTCTGTAACAAAACTTTGCCATAATTACAGCTGAGCTTTACCTCTCTTTTTGTTTATTTTTCTCTTAATTAAATTAAGAATTTGCCACAACTGAAATTATCCGTTAATTTTATTTATTCAAAAATTTGTTGAAGTCTGTTTATATAAATATGAATACCATATTACATGGCTTATTTTATTTTTTTCTTGTTTCATAATTATCCAAATTGCTTCTAATTAATCTATTTTTTAATGATAGTTTTCATTATGTCGAATTTATCAAAACTTGAATTTGTGGCACTTGACATCTTCAGAAAGAATTATTTATCATGGGTCCTTGATGCTGAAATTCACCTTGCTGCAAAAGCTCTTGAAAATACTACTCCCTCCGCTCCAATTTATGTGAACCTGTTTGACTGGGCACGAAGTTTAAGTAAAAAATGAAGACTTTTGGAATTTGTGGTCTTAAACAAGTTCAAATGGGGCCCAGAGTATTTGTATGGTTATAAAAGTTTCTCATTAAGGGTAAAGTTGTAACTTTAAGCTAAATTATTACCAAATTTAGAAAGGGTTCATTCTTTTTGGAACGGACCAAAAAGGAAATAGGTTCACATAAACTGGAACAGAGGGAGTATTATACAAGGAACTAAAGCACTAGGCCAGGATAAAGTAAATGCTATGATCTTCCTTCGTCATCAATCATCTCGATGAAGGGTTAAAGACTGAATACTTAACCTTAAAAGATCCATTTGAATTATGGAGCAGTTTGAAGGAACGCCATCTTAAGGCAACGGTATTGCCAATAGCTCGATATGAATGGATTCACTTACGGTTACAAGATTTTAAAACTGTAAGTGAATATAATTCAGTTGTATTCAGGATAACTTCTCAATTTAAATTATGTGGGAAAATTGTGAATGACGAGGATTTACTGAAAAAGACTCTTTCTACTTTTTATGCCTCAAATATGGTATTGCAGCAACAATACCGTGAAAAGGGTTTAAAGAAATATTCTGAATTAATCTCATGCCTCCTGGTGGCTGAGCAACATAATACACTTTAATTGAAAAATCATGAAACCCGTCCCACTGGATTTGCACCATTTTTCGATGTGAATATGGTAGCAACTACTCAAAAGTCTGAAAGAATACAAAATAATTATCGTGCCATGGTCGTGGCCATGGCCATAGTCGTGGACGTGGACATGGACATGGAAGGGGACGAAATAATTATCGTCATTATGGTGGAAATAAACAAGAGAACAATAAGGATCCTCAAAATAATCCTTTAAAAAGCAGAGTTAACATTTGCCACAGATGTGGTATGAAAGGTCATTGGGCACATGTTTGTCGTAAACCTGACCATTTTGCCAAACTTTATCAAGCATCCATTAAAAGAAATGATAACAATGTGGAGGCACACTTGACTTTTCAAAAGAATGATGATAAAGCAGATCCCTCAAACAAATATGATGATGCTGAGGCAAATCATGCATATAAAGATGATGATTTTGGAGGCCTTGCAAATATTACTCATTTAGAAGTTGGGAACTTCTTTGAGGATATTGACTGAAGAAGTGATTATCTTACTGGGGAATAAACTTTAAGAAAAATTGTTTTTAACATAATATGTCTTTATGTGTCACGACCCAAACTTTCCTCCATTGGGTATCGTGATGGCACCTAGTCTTAGGGACTAGGTAAGCCTAATATTAATTGAAACAACAACATTATTTAAATAACATCTAAAAATTTAAAATAGAAATCTCCTTAAAATTTACAACCCCAAAATCGGTAGTACAAGTCATAAGCTCTACATAGTATTTGCTAGAAAACTTCTAAATACAACTGTCCAGAAATAAGAATAAACAGTGCAAAACAAAAACTAAAAGGCGACTCCGAAGCCTGCGAACACAACGACAGTTTTACCTCGAGTCTCCACAGTAACAATCCGCACAGCTACTAACGATCAATACCTAGATTTGCACAAAAATGTGCAGAAGTATAGTATGAGTACACCACAGCAGTACCCAACAAGTATCAAGACTAACCTCGGTAAAGTAGTGACGAACAACAGTCAAGACACCTACTGGACTAAAATAACCTGAACGAATATACGTGTAGGAGCAATAGAGTACGAAATTTATATAAGGACTACGCATAATGACAATGACAATGATATGGTAACTGTAATAAGAAAGGAAAACAACAACTAACTGCGGAACACCATAATAATGACACAGTAGAATAAGCATAACACAGTTTGGATCCGGTGAACACATATAGAGGAAAGACAAGTAATAATTCAACAAACACGACCGCTTTCATACCAGGCTCCAACCAATATCCATTCAGGAGGTACCGAACCTTAGAATATTCACATTTCACGGGTCTCAAATTTCGGAACTCTAAACACTTGGCACCCCGTGCCCTCTTTACCAATTATTTACTGAATAATATCAAGGTTTCATCCTTTTAGTTAATAAGAGAAATTATCTACGCGTATGCTTGTGCAAATATCCTAACATAGTTCATGCCAACTAGTAAGTATAAAAAAAAGAACAAACAACAAATAGAATATTTTCCCATAATTTTTCCTCAAAATAGAACCCACACAGGTAAGTACACCACTACATAAGTATCAACAACAAGAATGCCCCCAGTCCATCACAAGTCATCATGAATCAATCCCTGACACAGCCCACTTTGTCTCGCCACATGTGCAATAATAAAGCAAGTGCCCGCCTTANCCTAATGATTTAAGGTGCATTAGGACACCAATGGGGTTCAATTCTAAGTTTCGTTTGAATAACCTGAGATAGAGAAAGGGCTTGAAATTATCCCAAGGGGAAGGTGTTAGGCACTCCTCGGGATCCACTAGTGTGGTTCCCGATCAGACAGTTTATTGTGAATTTAGCAAATAGACAAGTATGGGCTCAAATATTTGGGGATTTAAACGCATAAAAAGAAAGAACAGTTGAAAGAAGAGTTTTAAAAAGGAGTTTACGAATAAAGGGAAAGGGGGTCCTAAGTTTATATTTAATATGGATCTCATCAATGCAATACCCGGTATGACACTCCTCAAAAGAGGGAAGACACGTGGTATTAGCGTACCGGTCATCATATCCATATCTACCCTTCCCACCCCGTTAATATATTAAAGCACAAATTGGTCTTGATTACTATTGCATGCTATTACCCGTCCCATTCTTATTAGTCACGGAAGAGCTTAGGACTACTATTCCTAAAGGGGAGAGATATTAGGTTGATTGGTTTCAAAGGGTAAAAATCTAATGCGACATACAAAACACATATTGCATGTTATGGAAGGCATATAAACAGATAAAGACCTATATACACCTCCTTAAACAAAAGCACATAACTAGCATGACTTGTACATATTTTTTAGGTTTTATTAAAATACTAAAGACGAGGGGAGTTTGATTATTGAAGCAGATCTGTTTATTACATAACTCAGATAAGAAGTCCGAATCAGACCTGCCTGCTGGTTGTAGCAATTAACAAAGGCGGATTTAGTTTTTTATTGTTATTACTCTAAGGCTTGCCTTAGTGTTTAGATGAGATCCTATAGGCATGATATCTAATTGATTCATAATGTGGCGAAAAGTAATAACTCAAAATGAATTGTTTGAAATCCTATAGGAATGCTTGCTAAACCTCGTTAAATAAGGGAATTAAATTATTTAAAACTGATTCAGAATAGACCGATTTTTAAAACAGACTAGTTTCAGATTCTGCAGGTGATGGTATCTACTATTGCTGATTTTAAACCCTATGGACATGATATCTAATATTGAATGTGAATGGAAACGAACCAGATTTACTTGGGACTCCCTATAGGCATTATTTCTATATATTACTGATTTCGATATGATGAACATGACACTTATTTATAGCCATTTAGAACCTAAAGCATGATATCTAAGTGGTATGCAGTATGTAAATAAGTCCTATAGGCAGGTTATCTAGGTGTGACATTGACCATGAAGAAATTGAGATAAACCCTATAGACATGGTGTCTAAAAATGCAGAATTGAACACAAACAATTTAAACAGTCCTATAGGCATGCTTTCTACCCTTGAGCATACATAGTTACCCAACCCTTTTCACTAGCCAGCCCCCAAATGTTTATTACAAATCATTACAA